ATGCACTACAATAGTTAATAAAATTCTCTAATGGGAAAATTTTGATGAATAAGTATTTACACTATAAATATTTATATTATTAATATATTGGTGCTATTATTTCACAAAATAAAAAAGCTGTAATACAGACTTTAAAAGCAAATAATATCCTTACATTTCTAAATAAAGAAAAAATATAAATTTTGTGAAATATGATTGAGAGTAATTGATAAAATAAAAACTGGGGCATAAATTATATTATAGTTTGGGTAGAGATTGAAAAAAGTGGATGAAAATTTTAATGAGCCCTTTTTGCCTGCACTAAACTTAATCTTATAGGTGAACACTATAATATATATAGGGTACCTACTAGCTATCTAATTTAGTTTTTACACAATGTATAAATCCTAGCCTATTGTTCTTAATGTTTGAACCTGAAATAACACACAAACGTACAAGAGAACAAAATAAGGAAGAAATGTATGGAGACAGTGACATTATCAAGATAGTGGAATGGGGGTCCCTATTTTTATATTCCCCTGCAGGAATAAAAACTAGTCAGCCATCCATCAACCAAAGTAACTTTATGAGAGAACCAGGCACAGTGGCTCGTGACAGTATCTCTTCCATTCAGGAGCCTGAGGCAGGAGGACTGCTTCAGACCAGGAGATCAAGAACAGCCTGGGCAATATAGTGAGCTTCGGGATACAGGGCATTATAAAACCTTGCTAAAACCCAAGATCGAGAAGAGTCATTTTGTGAAGGCAGGCCCTTTGGTTAATAAGGTGTCATATTATCCAAAGCAATCTGTAAGTTAACTCAAATCCCTGTCAAAATCCCTGTCTCACTTTTCATAGTAATAGAAAATACAAGCCTACAAAGTAGGCTGAATGGCCAAACCAATCATGAGGAATAAGAAAAAAGCTGGGGACATTATACTTGTGACCCACAGAAAACAGTTCAAAAGTCACTGTTCGTAGATAACCTGGGGAAACCCTGCTAGGTACTCAATGGGAGCCACACTCACCCACACATCTGCTATTAGGCCCACCATATAGCAGAACCTTGCCCTAGTGCCTGCTCCACAGAACAAAGCCCTGAAGACAATCCAGTCTGCCCAAAAACATGACAGGACTCACAACCACATGTGCTCCTGGTAACAAGCCCACTAAAGGTAAAACCCACTCCAGATTCAGCAGCCACCTTGTGATCCAGCTACAAGCCTTTTTACTGCAAACCCAGTAAAGATCTTATCAGCCTTGAGATCCAACAGATGAAGATCTTTACCTGCTGAAACCAGTGTATAAAAATGAAAAGAGGTGTTTACTCCTTCAAATGCACAAACACCAATGCAAGTCTATATTACACCCATTCTAATGGTCCTATTTTAACATAGAACTGGAAGTCCTGCATAGAATAATTAAGTCCTACATCAAACAATTAAGCAAGAATATCGAAAAGATCCAAATTGAAAGGAAGAAAAAAAGTCACTGTTTGTGGATGACATAATCTTATATATAAAAAACATAAATAGTACATTTAAATAGTGCACTTTAATAAATACAGTCAGTAAAGAAGTAGAATATACAATTAACATACAAATATCAGTTTCGATTCTATATGCTTGAGCAAACCAGTAAAAAAGAAAAAATCTCATTTACAATAGCAACAAAATAGTAGATTTCTTAGCAATAAATTTAACCATTGTGGTGAAAGAGCTTTACAATAAAAAATAAAAGATATTGATGAAAAAAATTAAAGAAGATACAAATAAACATAAATAGATTACATGTTTATGAATTAGAAGAATATTGTCTAAGTGACATATTATCCAAAGCAATCTGTAGATTATTTCAACTTCCTATCAAAATTCCTGTGCCACTTTTTACAGTAATAGAAAATAAAGTCTACAATGTATATAAAACTATAAGAAATATTGAATGACCAAAGCAATCATGAGGAATAAAACAAAATCTAGGGACATTACACTTTATTATTTAAAACTACATTTCAAGACTACAGTAAACATAATAGAATGGTATGTTTATAGGAACCAGCACAAAAACCAATGGAACAGAATACAGAGCCCAGAAGTAAATCTATGTGTCTAAAGTTAATCTTTGACAAGGGCACTATGAATACGCAATACAGAAAGTATAGCCTTTTCAATACTTGGTGCTGGGAAAACTGTATACTCACAAGCACAATAATAAAATTAGATCATATTTCTTATGCCACACACAAAAATTGACTTAAAATAAAGACTTAAATTTGATACATAAATCCTTAAAAGAAAATATTTTAAAAAGCGTATGAAAAGCCTCCATGATACTGGCCTTGGCAATGATTTTTTAAATATGATATCAAAAGTATTGCAATAAAAGCAAACATAAAGTTGTAGTGTATCAAAGTATTGTGCACAGCAAAAAATAAGAAAACTTTTAAGACGGGATAAAATATTTGCAAACCATATATGATAAGAGGTTAGTATTGAAAATATAGCAGAAAGTCATACAAATCAGAAACAAAACAATAATAATAATAATAATACCGAACTAAAAATAGGCAAAAGACCAAGTATTTTAACAAACATATTCAAATGGCCAACAGATGTGTATAAAGATGCTAAACATTACCATTAATCAGAAAATTGCAAATCAAAATCATAAGGAGATAGTACTTTACAGCGGTTACAATGGCTAATATCAAAAAGAAGAAATATGACGTGTTAACAAGGATGTGACAAGATATTTCTGTACAGTCTTAATGAGTTGTAAACTGGAAGAGTCATTATGAAAATTAGCATGGAGGTTATTTAAGAAAAATAGAACTATCATACAATCCAGAAATTCTGCTTCTGTCTATAAACAAAATAAAATCAGATATCTCAAAAAAAATATTCACCCCTGTATTCAATGCAGCATTATTCACAACTGTCAAGGATTTTTTTTTTTTTTAAAAACAACGTATCTGTAGATGCTGAATGGATAAGGAAAATGTGGTATAAACAGACAACTGAATATTATTCACCCTTGAAAAAGATTGAAATTCTGCTATTTCAACATGAATGAACCTGGGTACATTATGCTAAGCAAAATAAGCCAGGCACAGAAAGACAAACGCTGTGTGTTCTCACTTAAATGGAGAATCTAAAAAGGCTGAACTCACAGAAGCAGAGAGTACAATGGTAATGACGAGGTCTGGAGGTAGAAAAAATGGTAAAGTGTTCAAAGAGTACAAACTTTCAGTTATAAGATAAATAAGTTTTGGGGATCTAATGTATAGCTTTAAAATGTAGTTAATAACAGTGTTTTGTATGCTTAAAATTTGCTACAACAGTAGGAGACCTCAAGTGCTCTCACTACAAAAAACAACCATGTGAGGTGACATAAATATTCATCAACTTAATTGTATTAAACATTTTACAATATATATACCTATCAAATTATTATAATTTACACAATACATAATTATGCAATTTTTATTGGTCAAAAAATTGATGTATGTGCATATGCATATATACACATAAGTGTGTATATACAGGTATGTAAAACATATACATATATATCCATGACATATGTTGTTATGTATATACTTGTGTGTGTATATATACACATACATATCAATAACACAGTCCTAGTAAGCTTCAAACTAAACAAGAGAAAATTATAAAATGATAACTATTTAAAAATCAGGAAACAAATGGGAATTTAATACATGCTCAACAATGTTCTAGTTCCTCAATGGGAAAGTACATGTTTTAAATGTAGAAAGTAGATACAGTAAACCATATTACAGTTTAGGAATTAGGGCACAGAATGTTTACAGTATTAGCCTCAATACATACCAAAAAACTTAAAGTTTTGAAGTAAAATAACATTAGGTTTTATTATATGGGGCAGATGCTTAGTGTTCTGATAAAATTTTTGAGTATGAATTTCTGTAGAATCACATTTGAAACCTTCATAGGATATGAAATTGTAAAACAGAAAACACGACATCTGGATGTGGTGTTTCCGGGATTTCTAAACTAAATCCCAATATCTCCACTACTCTCACACATTTTAGACTCAAAATGGAAATTAGAAAATGTTTAACATAGAGTTCCTTAAAAATCACAGACGGCCCCATGTCCTCAAAAGCAGTAAAAGAGCAAGCAGCCAGGTCCTCCAGTCCCTTGCAAGCCATGCAAAGGGCTTTGATTTTCTTTGTAACCTGGAAGAATGATTGCCGAAGGGGAAGCCCAGACCTAGAGAACTGAAGAGCCTGGGGCAGAAGATGTCTGTCTCTATATGAGAGCAAGAGAAAGAAACCAGGGCTTCTCAGAAACGATTTCCATTGGAGCATAGCTTCACAAACCACACTTTAAGATCTGGCTTTCTCCTTGACCTTTGGACATCTCATCTGTGTCATCTGCTTTATTCACTCCCATCTATTTAGATGTTTGGCTACTATCTCCTGTCTCCTCACACTCTGGGGCTTTTTTTTTTTTTTCTCAATATAGGTGATCAGGTTTAGCTTAGAGAACAGCCAAGGACTCTGTATTAAAAAATGTAATATGACCTCTGCTGTGATTTTCCAGTTACTACTTAGTACTGTGCTCAGTGGAAAAAACAGAGCATTATAAAAGAGTCTAAAAATTTGATACCAAATACTGTTTCCTTACAGAAACGTTATGATATTTAAAAACTTTTCTAAATTTGTGGGTCCTTAGCTCCATGACCCAGTCCTGCTGAATCAAAACTTGGTGGTGGTTGGCTGGGCATGTTGGCTCACACCTCTGATCCCAGCACTTTGAGAGGCCAAGACAGGCAAATCGCTTAAGCCCAGGGGTTTGTGGCCAGCCTGGGCAACACGGCAAGACCTAGTCTTGGGTGGGGGAGGGGGAAAGGTGGTGGTAATGGGAGGTGGTAATGCGATTATACGGTGTGGGCAACCATATTTTGTGCCTCTAAATTTCTGGAGTTACCACTAACCTAAAATTAAGGATACAGATCAGCTGAAGAAAGAAAAATATTTACGTCAAGATGAAGCCTCCTCGTGGGGGTCCGCAGCTGCAGCACCGCCAGGCGGCAGCATCCCACCTCCTCCACCTGGCTGCAGCCCCACCAGGAGCCGGGCTCCAGCCAGGGCGCTGCGGCAGGCACCC